GAGCTACTGTATATTGATACGTGTATGCACCAGACGGAAAAACAAAAAATATCATGTATCCACAAGCACTCCAATAAATAAATAGAATTGAAATGACACTTTGAAATGTTTTTCTGATGAAAATGAATAATAATAATAATATAATAATAATAATAAGTTTCAATAAAAATGATAAAATGTAAATTTAATTTATCATAATGAGTTTGCTTGAATTTCGTTTCTTCTGAGATTGCAGCAATGCGCGATGGGTAAGCTAGTAAACTATATAAATATTTATTTATGATTTTGCTGAAGAACTGTGTATTTATTACTTTAATCTAGATAAAAATATTTTCTAACAACAACTAATTAAAAAAATAGATGAATTAATATATAAAAGGTTGATCAAAAAAGTTAGGAACTTTATTCATAAAATGCAAAAAATACTGTACATCTAAACTACTTAATAGTTCTTATCCTCAATATACCCTTCTGTTACAATATATTTCTGGAATTTCTTTTTCCAGTTCTAAAATGCAACCATATATGCTTATTGTGGAATGGTCCTAAGAGCATTCTGCAATTTTGTTATGCTTTTAATGGTCACTTGAGACATGGAAAAAGAAACAAATCTGAAAAATAAGGTGGCTGAGGAAACAGAAAAAATTTCATGTCAAAAATTCCTTCACTAGCATGGTTGTATATTGCTATGCATTCTCATGACATAATTGCCAAGCTTTTCTCTTCCATAAATTTATCTTTTTCATCAATTTGCTCTCAGAGTTGTAAAGACTTATATACAACTCAGCATTGACATTTATAACAAATGGCACATATTCATAATGCAATAACCCAAAGCAATTAAAAAAACACAATAAATGTAAGTTGCATATTTGAATAACTCAGGTGCTTTTCTTGGACAAGGTTCATTTGAGTTTCTCCATTTGTTGGATTGCTATTTAATGTTGATATTGTATCCATTTTCCCCTCATAAACCAAGATTTCTTCACCTGTAATAATGGATTTTAAGAAATTGTCTACAGCATGTTCAAGCAGTTCCTGGGCAATTTCCAAATATTGATATTTCTGTTCTTGAATTAAGATTCAAGTAAAAAAATTTTATATTCCCTCTTATATTCCAACCCATCAAGAATATCTTGACAAGAACCATGAAAATGTTAACCTTTTTTGTCATTTCTCATATTGTTATTCTCTAATTTTGCCTGACCAAGCAGACAATTTCTTTCTTTGTCATTGAATTAGATGCTAACAGTCTTTCTGATCTCAGACCATCTTCAATTGATAAGCATTAAATGTTATACTACTCATAAATCTTTAAATATATCATGGCATTCTCTTTAAAAGCTTTCTTAACCATTTCAACAGTTTTGACCAAATTTTCCCAAATTAAACCAAAATTTGATTCATACACATTTTACTTTGAAATTGGCTATTTTGCACAATCACAGAACACTAATCACAACTCTTAATTAATAATGCTGTTGTAGGTCCAAGACCTAACAAAAGAAAATTGAAAATATGACAGAATTTGGAAAAGTTTCAATCTCTCTTTTTGAAATATTTAAATCTGTTACTCAAATATACAGTTATCCATAAAAATGTCCCCCATATTTTTTAATCAGACCTTGTAATTTACTTTAAATATAGATTTAAAATTATTAATCTTTTACTTATTATTATTATTATTTTAATTTTTATTCATGCATTTTTACTATTTACAATTACAATTTTTATTAATCATACTGCTGAATATATGTTTTTTACTGTATGATTTTTGTGTTTTTTAATGAATGTATTTTTATATTTTTTTCTGCTATATATTTTATGTAGTGTGTTATAGCTTTGTTTGTTTTTTCTTTTCTTTTTGTATTTTTATTCTTCTTTAAGGCTTGTTATTAATGGGGGTGAAAATCAACTGTCTAATGGCATTTCCAACATTCAATGTAAAATAAATAAATAAATAATAATGTTATGAAAAGATACATGAGATTTAAAACATACAGCTTACCTGTGCTGAAATTAAGACTAATGATGGCATCAAATCACTACTATTTTTGTTAACATAAACAGCAGCAAAAACAGGTGTAGTTAGCCACAAAATATTAATAACTGAAAAATATTTTTTTTTTAAAAAAGTTCACAAACGTTTAATTTTTAATTAGAAATTTAAAAATTTACCAGACACTGGATTTTCAAATCTGTTTGGAGCTGGTATAGCTTTAGTTTCCTTAAGATTTGGTTTATATTGTGATAAAGAACCATCTTCTTTTCCAATGACAATTTGTTTCCCTTTAGGACTCCAACTTACTAAAACATACATTAGACTTTAGTTTTATTATGTTTCCAAAATTTCAAAAATGAATATTTAAGAAAAAATTACAAGCTGTAGCTTTAATAGTAGAAGGAAGAGTAGCAACAATCTTAAGAGATGTTTCATGTAATTCATATACACTAACAGTTCCATCACTTAAACATACTGCAAACATTTCTGCTACCTTAGGATTCCAAATCATATCTCGAATGAATACATTTGGTGTGGATGTTAAACGAACACTAGTAAATGGTTCAGCTATAATCTAAAAACAATAATATATTAAAATTTATTTTGGGGGAAAAAAAATGTATTGATAAAGATACTAAGTATTTAAATCATTCTATTTTTCATAAAAATTAAAGTTACTTGAAATATATTTATTGAATATATTAAGCATAATTATTGCTTGCACAAAATGTTATTTTCATTGTTATATAATTATTTTTAATAATCACATTCATAAATAAAAGTCAGTCTTTTCTTTACTTCTTTATAATTATATACAAACTATTGCTACAGTACATTTGGTAGTTTGTTCCTAAAACTATATCATTCGAAAAAACTCCCTATCTGCAGAATCCACAGCTATCTCTTATAAAATATATAATTATTTCTGTAATTCATTCCCTTTTTATAGAATTATAACCTTTGTCTATCATCATATACGAAGGGTATTTTTAAATAAGGTCCGTTTTTTTTTATAAGAAAAATACTGTAAATATTGTTAAAATATATTTTTTCCCATATTCTACATACTTTTATCTACTTTTCTACATAATTTCCATTTTTGTTCAAACATTTGTCAAACATACTGCTCAAAAATTTTTTAAATTCTGCCTTCAAAGAAATCTGCCACCTGCCGCCAGAAGACATTAGGCCACACCGCTTGTCTTGTATAGCACAGTGGAGTTTTCTCAAGGTCACAATAAGCATCAGAATTGATTGTTGTGCCTCTTGGCATAAAATCCACTAACAAAGTCCTTTTCCTGTCCCAAAAGACAGTTACCATGATCTTTTGTGCTGAAATCAAATAACAGATCATATCTTAAAGTTGGCGGGCGACTCAATTTTCTTAAACATTATAAACTTCTACAGCTCAGCACACAGATAGACGATACGACTGCAAATGGCATCTAAACATGCGCAAAGCATGCTAAAAGCAGATGCTCATGCACACTGCTGCAATTGTGTGTCATTCTCACTCTCATTCACAAATGGACCTTATTTAAAAATAGCCCTCGTACAAATCTATTTTGATACTACATTCAAAAAATAAAATAAATAATTATAATTTATTATGTTTCATTACAATTGAGAAAATTTAGCATCAGCAAAATAACATATAAAAATAGCTTTTAAAAAATTTCAATTTGAAGCTATCAAATGAGCAAGACAAAATAAAACAATTTTTCCAGTGATAGTTTAGAATGACTTCTGATACACAAATTTTCCTGAAATGTTAACAAACCTTTGACAGGATGAGAAAGAAAATATAATAAAAACCTGATGTCTCTCATACAGATAACCTTGTTCTGTTTTGTCTTGAAACAAGGCTATCAATATGAGAGATATTGGATCTACTTTGACATCCTGGTTTGAAATCAATGGTCCCATAATTCTGGAATTGTTATTGTTATTCTGGCTACTTTTTGTTTTTTAAAAAAACTAAGTAAATTAGTCTGATTTGACTTCTTTTTTATGCCACTTATTTAGGGATTTTTTAAATTAATTTTTCAATAAAACAAAAAAAAACTTTAATACATTATGTGAACAGGTTCTTTTAAAGGTAACTATTCTAGATGTGTAATAATGTTTTTAAAATATACACAAAAATCAGGCTAAACTAATTTTAGATACATTCACATAGAGATGTTAACTGATCTGTTAAAATTGGAAAGAACATACATTTATTTAAATTTTGAAGTGTTATGGTACACACATTTTAAAAATTGGAATCAAACAAAACTTTAGGAATACAAAAACGTTACATATTTTGTGTATATATATGTAATTCTCATAAAGTTGATAAGTTGGACAACCAGAAAAATCATCTGAGCAGGATCCAGCAAAAAAGGGCCTGAGGAGAGTACTGATACATTTTATTAATGCATTCAATAAAAGATGTTCTTCCTTATATGGTAAAAATCTAATGGCAAGGTCATACAATAAAATTGTGAAATTCTGTTTTCGTCATCCAATTATTGTTTACAAAATGTTACATAAAAAATTTATTTTATTACTGTCTTTTTAACTTGAAAATTATTTAATAATATTAAATTGTTTTTGAATGTTTTTTTAATTAATATAAAATGGATTTGTACAGTGTTTTAAAATTAAGCAAATGAAACAAAAATGGTAATGACATCACTTTTAGTTTAACGAAATACAATGGAAAGTAATGCTGTTATACAAAAATACGGCAGAAAACTGCACAGGTATGACTGACCTATCATTTTGAATATATATAATCATTTTAGACCTCAAAAGTCACTTTACAGCAATGAAAAGAACAAGAGTTCTAGACTACTAGCATTAAAATTGCTGTGCACGTGTTTTAATTTTCAACAAGACTTATAAAAAAGGAGTTTAAAAAATTCATCTTTGGTAGTAGTCTATAAATATATATAGTAATAATAGAATGTGCTAAAATTCAAAAAATTAAACAGAAAAATTTCCAATGTTAATGACATCCATTGACTTGAGTTTAAGAGTTGACCACTTAACTTTTAAACAAAATCTTCTAAATAGTTCTCTCAAAGTTATTATATAGAAAAAGGAAAATTATTAGACTCTTGTCAGTTTTTAAAATAGAAGTTCAAGTAAGTGTGTATAGCAATATCAAAGTGTAAATTCAAGCATAGAAAATAAACAGAAAAAACTAAAACTAAAGGTGAGATATGCATTTACAGATATCCCTTCCTTAACATGGGATTTGATTAATGTGCAAAATTAACTTGACATTCCATTTCCCTTGACATTCTGCTGCATATATAAATATGCAGTAGAAGTTTTCATTAATGCAGCTTTAACAGCTGTCTTTGCTTAATTTCTTCCTGAAATTTCAAGAAGAAATTGTTAAAAATCAACAAGTAACAACTTGTGAACTTGTAACAAATCTTAGTGTGTCACCAACATGATGATTGTGTTCCACATGCATTAAATGAAAAAAACAAACTGAATTGAATATAATTTTGTCTGACAAGATGTCTGTCCAAGATTTCATTTTATTTTTAAATTAGTTACTCATCTTTATCACAGAAAATGTTTTTTACAGGTGACAAAATTAAAATTAAAATATTTGTTATTAACTGAAAATTTGTTCTAATAGGTTATGATTGTTTGATCAAGTACTGAGGTACCACTATACACAGTCAAACCTCAGTTTTCAAACTTAATTTACTCCTAAAAGTTGTTCGAAAACTGATTTGTTCTAAAATGAAAAAAATTTTTCCATAAGAAATATATAATTTTAATATTTTTTACCAAGGCAATAATAATTCCAATAATAATAAAGTAACATGTGCATTCATAGTATCAAATAACTGTAATATGATTGTTTGATTTTTCATTTTTCTAATTTTACTATCATTTAAATATTAAAAACAAATTATAATTATAACGTAATATATTTCTTTACTTTTTAATTTCTTTTTTAAATTTTAGTTAGTGTATTAATTTTACATGCAATACCATTTTTACTGACTTTAAAACAACAATTTCCATTAAAATCTAACACACACGAACATCCATGTCTGAAGTGGAATTCATACCTGTGATCTGGTAAACTAAAAACAACTCCATAATATTATTTAAAGTAATTTTAAAAATTAATATAATTTTAAAATATAATTTTTTAAGTTTCAGAGTATTTTTCTTATATAGACACAAAATTGTGTAACATAATCAGCATATTCCTGCAAAACTGGAATATTCAATATAACATCTGCTTTTCACAGAGCTCTAAAAGTTGCTATAACGTAAGCCTACTGTACATAAATATTAACAATAATCAGGATAATTTATAGATCATTAATACCAATGACTACTTACCGATGCATTAGAAAATGATGTAATATCAAAAAATTTTGCATGATAACTTTCATCTTTTAAAATGCATGCTACTACTGTCATATCGTCACAGCTTAAGTTTAATAACACTGGAGAGGAATCTAACGTTACATGTTGACAAGGATATTCTACAGCTTCTTGTTTTAATGTTTCAGTGTCAGAATTTAAATTCAACACATCATCTAATTTTAACACTTTAAATCCTAAAAAATTAAAATGTAAACATGTTTAAATAGTTTGTGAAATTAATGAGTAATCAATGTTAAAAATTCTATAGAATTATAAAATTGTTTTTATATTTAAAATTTTAAAAAATTAATAGTTTTTTAGATTGACTATGATAGAAAGAAAACACTAAAAATTAGAGTAAAATGATTGCCAGATTAGATCAGGCTATATTACTGCTACTATTAATAATTAAACGCTAAGTAATTTGGCCTATAGGTAGGCATTAGATGCTATCTCTTATTAAATTTAATAATTACAATTAAATTAATATTTATTAATTAATTCAGAAGATTCTGGAAGAAAGAATTGAACCAGAGTAGGACTCAAACCCACAACTGCTGCATACCAAGTGTATGCGTTATCAATTACACTACTCAGAACTCTGTCCAATCTTCACTTCCAGAACTATTAATTTAGATACACACCATACTAGATACTAGAGCTGACTCAGCACACACAGCCTATAATTTTCCACTGTGGCACTCAGCCAGTTATATTATCCCCAACTACTTGACTTGCAGATGTTTATATTTGTATATAAACATCTCTAAGCCAGATGCATTACCTCAGCATTTATAAGTTAATTTTATATACATACATACATACATACGTTTAAAAAATTAAATTATTATTTAAAAATTGTTTTAAAAATTACCTTTTTTTTTATAAAAGATTATGATTTTTTTATTTACACAAAAAGAAAACAGAGACGGAAGGAATGAAAAGTTGAAAAAATTTAACAATTAATATTTATAAGTCTTTTTTCACAATTTTTTATTCTGAAACTATGAATGATACAGAAAATACAGATACCTCTTGCTTAATACAGTTTTGCTTAACACAAGATTTGATTAACATGTGAAATTAATTGTGATAATCCCTTTATATACACAGCAGAAGTTTTAATTTATGTGGCTTTACTAGCTGTCTTTACTTAACATAGATACTATATTTTGATTAACACAATTTTGATATATGCAGTAGCAGGATCAAGGGATTAATTAACCATATTAATCAAGGGATACCTGTACTGAATGCAAAATTAAAAAATTGGAAATCCATGTACTATGGTATGTGATGGCATGCATATATATGTATATATATATATCCATAAAGTATATTTTTCTTACCTTGTTCACATCCAACAAATATTAATCCATATTTACTAGAGGAAGCTACTATATTAACAACATCCTTATCACACAGTGCAGATGGTATTTGAAGTTTTCTTAATGATCTGAAGCCAAACCACTGTAAAAAATAGAAGTACTTAAAAAATGTGTTGAGAAAATATCAATGAATCTCTCAAGAAAAAGTTCTATATTCTTATTACTTCTTAGTACAGATCAATAATCCCTTATCCAAAATCCTTGGGACCAGACACATTTTGGAATTCAGAATTTTTCAGATTTCAGAATGGTAGTATTGTATTTATATACCATATACTGTCATCTATACAAGTAAGGATTCCCTAGAGTTCCACTAATTACTGATATCACCAACATGGAATATTAAAGCTTTGTGTTTTGGTAAATCATTTTTGACATATTTTGCTTCTAATCTTCATTTCTTACAAAAAAATAACATGCTCCTGTAAGACTTGAATTAAATATAATATGTATCTATGACTCCTTGTCAGTTATGAAGTTAGCATCCACGATGTTTATGCAAGTTAAACTTCAAATTCACGAATTGTCAAACAGTATTTTAATCACTGTAATAAAAGTATTTAAATTGGCTGTACAGTCCAAATTAACTTTTTGTAACTTACTAGTTTAAGTTATTGTAAAACAATCAAATAAAAATAAACCTATACAAAACATGTGAAAGAGCATATATGGTCCATAAGCAGCAGAAACACATCCAACTTGAAAACGACTATTGTTGTGCACACTAGTAGTAGTAATACTCCACAAAAAAAAAAAAAAAAAAAAACTTTGGTTTTTGGAACTTTACAGTTTTCAGAATTTTGGATAAGAGATTGTTGACTTGTACTGTATTATCATCTGGATAATTCATGGATTATTCATAAAAAAAAAAAATAATTTGAAATTGTACTTTTCCAAGAATGGGTCAACGACACAAAATATTAGGAACTGCTCTAATTTGTTTTAATAAATTAGTTATTGAGATTTGAAACACAAAATTTTTGTACTCTACATTCTACTTTCACCTGGAAGATAATTAATTATATAGCTGAAACATTAGTTGATCTATACAAATTTATGACAAAATTAAACTTGAAAATACTAGTTAGCATCTCAATTAAAATATCAGATTTCTTGTTGCTAAAGTGTATATAATAAATTAGGTTCTCATATTCAAGTAAAACATCAATAGCACACTGTGATATATAACAACTAACCTCCAAAAAAAACGCACCATTATTGGTTTTTTGGAGGTTAGTTGTTATATTCAAGTACTTAAAAATTTACAGTTAACCCACAACTTAAAATATTTTTTAAAAATTTCTTTTATAATTATTTTATTAATTATTCAGTGATAAAGAATAAATCAGTACAAAAATTATTATTATTCAATTTCTTAAACATGCAAGAATAACATAGCTGTTTCAGATTATATTATTACTTTTTTGTTGATATTTTTGTTAATATATGTATATTTTAACAAAACTGTCACTTAAAAATATCTTTTTGACAAAACTATGCCTAGTCTCTAAAATCATGCTGCTGTCAATGGTTGCACACCCTATAAGTATGAAGTATTGTCATCTGGATAATTCATGGATTATTCATAAAAAAAGATAATTTGAAATTGTACTTTTCCAAAGATGGGTCAATGGCACAAAAATATTAGGAACATGTCAGGAGTTGCAATTTGGCACAGAGTATTTAGTGTCCAAATCATGCACACATAAAATAAACCAGACTTGTAGATAGTCAAGGGACTGAGAACCAGGTTAAAATAAAATATAAAATGCTGAAACTGTTTCTACAAACAGGCACAAGTGCGAGATTTGTGCACGCATTGCTCGCACTCTCTGAGACATAGTCTTATCCCAAGAATGGCTTTGCCGTTTTACTTGTTTTTTATAAAATAAAAATATTTGTTTTTTTAAGTATAAAAATAGAAAATTTTCTCATTTTATCAATTTTTTATTTGAAAAAATACTTTTCAATTAGAATATTCTTGATACAACATTGATGATTAGCTTTGCTGCCATATAAATGGGGTAACCAAAAACTAACTTCACAAAGCAACACAGACAAATATTTTTATTGATGAAATTAAAACATATAGGCAATCTGCTATTCCTCAAAAAAATCAATCAGCCTTTTCAGGCTTTTATTTGTAATGTGTAATAAGCTTAGTATTTGATTGCTTGCTGTTCTCTCAATTAGTTGTATATTCTTTGGAACTTAGCCTAAAGTTGATATTGAGAACAATAAGTTGATATCCATTGTAAATCATAGAAAATAAAAATCTACTTTATCCATCAAGAGGAGTGTTCCTATATGATTTATTCTCAGTAGCAACTTTATACTAAGTTAGGAAGAACATACAAAAAATGTAACATGTTCATCCTGTCCTCAAAAATTTCTCTCTCTGTTGTTGCATTCTACCAGTAATGACAGTTTTTGCTTCCTCGGCATCAAAACAGCAACCATATATTTTAAATATTTTAAAATTCCATTGTATATGTAGTGTTCTTTATATATCTCAGTAAGCAAGTTGAAATTAGGAAATTTTTTCATATTACATGATTTCTCATATTTACAGTAAAAAAGATTCTAATGATTGAGAGATCTAAATAATTAAGTTTCCTATTTTCTTCTTTTTCATAAATAAATTTTACAGTCAGTTCTGTGTTTGCTATTTTACAAATATTTTAAATATATTATTTACATATATTTAATAAATTTGTAAATATCATTACAAATTTAGTAAAAATATAATTCCAGTTTGTTAAATTAATGTCAGAATGTTTCAATAGAGAGGTTGCAGCTGACATTTTCATCAAAAAAATATGAACGTAGACGTTCAGCGCTGCCTTTCTGTAAGCCTAGAAGTTTGACAATGGCATTTGGAATGTCAAGCATGATTTCACTGATGTTCCAAACACCATTGTCAAACTTCTAGACTTACAGAAAGGCGGCACTGAATGTCCGATGTTCACGTTTTCATGATGAAAACATTAGCTGCAACCTCTGTATTGTTTGTTAGCTGTGTTAGTTTCAGTCCAGTAATCATTCCTGTAGAAATTCCATCATCCTGTATATAATCATTATTTAATATAAAATACAACTGAATTGCTTTAAAATTATACCCATTACAATTATAAACCCCAGTACAATAATAGAACTTCCATCGTCCTGACCAAAGTCCTACACAAATATTGTAATTTTTTACCTGCCACAATGATAGTAAAAACCCAGATAAAATAATATGACTATTGGGTTGTGTAGTCACAACCAATGGCATACTTGAATTTTTCATTGTATTGGTTTCCCAACACGTGGGACATTAATTTGTCCCCAAAATCAGAGTGGATGGGCAGTGATGGTGAATATGTAGGAGAGTAGACACAGAAACAAGTCTCCTTCCAAAGTTTAACCTGCTTATTAGAACATTTAAAAGGAGCTTACAAAAATTCCTCTAAATCAATTCTAAGTGTCTTGAAGTCCAGATAAGATCATTCATTCCTCAACATACCGTTCAATGAGATAGATGCCCTGGGGCCAAGTAGATCCAGAAGGTCAAGTCGAGTCAGAGCTGCAAACAATCCTTGGTTCTAGTCAGTAGAGAACACACAGACACAAAGTTCAGAACACACATATTCATTTTAAGCAGTTTAAGTAAGGCAGATGGAAAAAGTATATATGGACAATTGGCAGGGAAGAATCAGGATGTCCTTGATTCCACTGTTTATATAGGGTTTTAGCAAATTAAAAGAAATCTGATTGGATTACATATTTGTTTCGCTTCCTAATTAATCACCCTTCCTCTGTTTGGGTGTAATCAAACTTAGATTAGGACGCAAGAAAGGTCAATCATCCATGTACAATTTGATATCTTATTTCAACTCTATCCAAGAATTTTTTTATTGAACTTTATTCCTTTTTCTCATATTTTAAGCAATTATGTTTTGATACTATGAAAATCAAGAATCCTAATGATGACATTATGATCCTCTCTTCACAATAAATCTAAAATTTATTTATTTTATTTAAAGTTTAATCTATTTTATCAATTTGTCATATTTATGACTGCCCATGACAGGACTCGTTCATTCTCCAGAGTGAACACCTATAACTTCTTGATGTCTGTTGTCACTCATCTTGTGCTCACAATTTATACCACTTTATTTTAATTCTTCTGGACATATTTACAATATACATTTGTTTTTTCTTCTAGCAGTATTTTCTCCTCATTGCAATGCTGTTTATTCTATGCATTCTTTCATTACTAATCTGTTACTTTCATATTCTTATAATTTTCTGGGTTCAGACCCATTCTGGAACCTCACAATTGCAGTGACCAATGCAGGGCCTACATGGTTAAGAGCTAGGTGAACCCCACTAATTGTAATACCTAATAACAAGGGCCATGGAGTCAGAGTCGGGAGGAATTTCTGGCCAGAGGAGTCGGAGACAGAAAAACATGTCGACTCCAACTCCCGCATTTTAAATTTACTTTAGTTTTTTTATTTAAATGAAATAAAATTTATTTAAAATATTAATGAATATATATTTATTAATTTTTTAAGATCTTTTTNTTATTACAAGTATTATGTTATTTATTTTTACATATTTTGTATCATTTACTATATATTGGTTATTCTTGTTAATTGATATGTTATTGACTAACAGTATTTTTTGAATTTTTTAACTTTTTCCATTTAAGCAATATTCTATTTAAACCTGATGATGATCTATTGAATAGATCGAAAGCGTTTGTTTAATAAAAATAATTTCTCAGCGAATATTAAGGTGTTGGTTAAGTTTGTATTTATTACTTCTGCTAGGTACAAAAGTGGTTTATATTAAGAAAATGTCTATATTCGATCTGAGGGGAGAAAAAAAAGCCAAGAAAACAGAAAACAAAACCAGTAAAAAAAAACCTTGAAGAATGAAAGTGAATACTTAATGGATAAATATGTAAATGATTATTGCCAATGTCAAAATTCCTTTGTATGAATTGGAGTTGTAAATATGTCAATTTTGCAGAAAATTTGTAATAAAGTTGAGGGACTGTAGGTTTGAAATGCATACTATTGAAAAATAAATTGATATATTGAGGTTGGTCTTGTGTCTGATGACGATGTAACAAGTCCAGAAATAAGGAGGCCATTATACAGCTCACCAATACAACTAAAAATTTTCAATTAAATTATTTTTGTCAATATAATTTTAAAAATGTTCATAGTGACATTTCCTTTTTAAAATAATTCTAACAATTTAAAGTTGATTGAATAAACTGAATGGCTCTAAATCGGAATTGTTATCAACCATCAATCCTGTATGTATATCCTGACAATTTTTTTAAAAATAACTTCAGAATCTTTATTGGCTAACAGTGGAACAACATATAATTTATTATTTTTCAATTAGGAAAAATTTTCCTTCTAGGATCCTCTAAAATCAACAGAATGCAACTGAGAACTAGACAAAAACACATTTGTTTTGTCTAACTTCATGAAAAATATCAGTGCCAGTCAGGGCTGTGGAGTCGGAGTTGGGAAAAATGGAATTTCTTGCCAGAGTTGGAGTTGGGAAAAATGTGTCGACTCCAACTCCCACATTTTAAATTTACTTTAGTTTTTTTATTTAAATGAAAGAAAATTTATTTTATATTTATTAATTTTTTAAAATGTTTTTGTATTTTGTTATAATTCATTTATTTTAAATACAAAATGCATCAATTTAATTTATTAAATATGTAGTATTTGTAGTATTTGTGTTTAGTAGTTAAATTATTTTGACCCAATTGAATTTGAATATTTTTGAATCATTCCTTTATTATCCCTGCTTTAAATAAGTACTCTATTTTTCTGAATAAGCCAGACTAATTGATCAGAGTACATATTTTTCTTTTCTGAACAAGAAGTTGAAATTGAAGTGCAAATGCTGTTGAATATATGTAGACTAGAATTTTATCGCTTCCTTTCTCCTCTTATTAAATATTTGTTAAAAATTAATTTTTTTATACAAATAAATATTAATGTAAGTTAAATATTAAAAATACTAACCATAAAAGTGTTTGAGTAAACACCCCTGGCTCCTTTCAGAATTCAGAGTAGGGTAACCTCCTATGAGTACCTCTGTCCCCCATAAAATGACTTGGTATTTAATTTTGCCAGAGTCAGGAGTCAGAGTTGACCTACTAAAATTATCAGGAGTCAGAATCAGAGTCGAGTGTTTTTTTACCGACTCCGCAGACCTGAGTATAACAATACTATTTTCCTCATCCCCAAAACAGCATTGTAGTGAGTTATGATAGTACAGTAGAGCGTCGTTTATCCGAATCAATTGGGGACTGGGGTGGTTCGGATAACTTATTTTTCGGATAACGAATCATGTACAAAAAAATATATTAATTTATCCCATGTTGAAATTTCTCTCCGTTGCGTGNGATATAAACAATATTTATAGTACAGATATGTATTCCTGTATAATGTATAAACTTATCTTAGAAAAAATAATAATTTTTAGTAAATATAGAGAAGTGAAAAATAGAGTTAATCAGATTTTGTTACAGAAGTAACTACAGTAGAGCATCGTTTATCCGAAAGCTGGTTATCCGAAAGCATTCCAGTTGGCAAATTTAAATTTTTGCTAGTGCTGTTGTGCTAATTTAGTATCAAAAATGTAAAATATTTGAGTAGCCCGAGAAATAGCCGAAGATTGCAATCTTCGGCTATTTCTCGGGCTACTCAAATATTTTACATTTTTGATACTAAATTAGCACAACAGCACTAGCAAAAATTTAAATTTGCCAACTGGAATGCTTTCGGATAACCAGCTTTCGGATAAACGATGCTCTACTGTAGTTACTTCTGTAACAAAATCTGATTAACTCTATTTTTCACTTCTCTATATTTACTAAAAATTATTATTTTTTCTAAGATAAGTTTATACATTATACAGGAATACATATCTGTACTATAAATATTGTTTATATCAATATAACAGTTGTTCAAGCAAAACTGCCACACTGCAACATAGGTCGTCAAAAAATAAATAAATAAATATTTAAAAAAAATCAAAAATAATTTAATGGAAATTTACATGAATAATGGAATGTTACATAAACAACTAGCAAACTGCAGCATATGGGCTACCTTTTCCAGTCTGCTGATCCCTTTTCTTCACACTTCTAAAAGTATAGTTGATGTCTGCTTCATCCATTTTTCTCAAATAGCGCTTAATCCTGCAAACTATTTGTTGCTTAGTTTCAACTCTTCAGCCATTTTTATAAAAAGCTCAAGCTCAAATAACTCAAAAATATTCAATGGGTTGACAATAAGGAAAGTTTGTTGGGTTTTTAGCTTGGAAAAAAACTGAAAAAGCAACAGTTTTTTTCTTTTTTGGATAATGACAACTTGTTTTGTCTGACCAAAATATATATTTGTTTTCCCTGTAGTTCTGTGCTATTAAAGGCAACAACTGTTTCTTCAAAGTGTTTAATATACAGATCAACATTGACCATGTTATTTTTCTCAAACATAACACTGTGACAAGCCTTTAAATGGATCCAACCTGATGCCAAAACCACAACTGGTAATTTTTCAGTTTGGATATATTTCACAACTGCAGGAGTCTCACTGCTGTTTGAGGAATAATAGTGTTTCTGGATGCACTTTATTTTAAAGTAAACTTCTTCATCAAAAATGACAGTTTTGTTCTAAAACAGATGGACTCAGTGATCAGCATTGGATTTTGACCCAATTTTTTAAATCTTGGCTGTACTGTGGAGCTTTTTGCTTTTTATGTATGATAATCTCAGTTTTTGTGTTCAAAGTATTAAAAACAATTGAAGGAGAACAATTGAACTTGGAGATCATATATTACTGTAAAAGGCAATCATTATAATCATTACTTTCTCAAGAACATTCAATTTCCCTTTGGTGAAAACAGCAATAAGATCCTGATTGTTTTCAACACTTCCTGTTTCCTCATGCTTCAAAATAATATGACAGACTTAATATTCACCTCTTTGGATGAAGCGATGAGCTTCAGGCAACTTGTCCCTGTTAGCTTTCTACAAGAACTTGATGCAAATGTCTGAATGCATATTCACTCTCCAACATTTTGTGATGCTTGAGTCTATGCTGGATACCTGGCAGTATTACACAACTGACCTTTCAGAAAATACAAATTTGGCTTTGTTGTTTGCATTTTGAAAATTAGTACAAAGGTTTGTTTCTGTGCAACAATTTTGCTCAAACACCCATTATACTCCTCCATATAACAATATACTTGCACTTCTATAAATTTTAACCATTTTTACATACAGTGGGCAATTGGTTAACAAACATAATCTGTTTCAAGACCATGTTTGCTATCTGAATTGTTCGTTAACCGATTATCAATTTACCATAGATTTTTGTGGGAATTTGATTAATTCATTCTGGAAAACCCAAAAATTAAATTAAAAAATTATATACTTTCTTACATATAACAACAAACTAAAAGCAATCTCTCCATTTTTTCATGGATGACACATCTTTATTTCTCAGATGCAATTTTCGTTACTCTTTCCGATCATATATTTCTTAGCTAAGATTGTATCTACCTGTTGAAGTCGGCCCACCAGTGGCCAAGTGGTTCCATTCCCTGAACACTAGGAGTTCAGTCTTGGGTTTGTGCCTCACAAGGATAGGCTGGTCACATGAAGTTTTCTGGGTTTTCTTGGCATCTGTAACACCTGAATAGAAGCTAGTTATCCTTAAAATGACCTCCCAGAAAAACATTCCCCCAGCCAGATCACCCAAGTTCTGCATTGCCATAACTTAACTAAACAAACAAACCTGTTGAAGTCATCTGCCTACAATATCAGACATCATCTGCCCACTCTTTACCTTGGCTATTATCTCTTGCTTAGTTTCTATAGTGAACACAGTTCTTGACACTCCACTCTTTTTAGCCCCCATAATATTATCAATTTTTTAAATAAAAAGTTCAGAAACGCACTTAAAAAAATTCACAAAACAGAAATTAACTAGTGCAAAATAGGGTATGTATACAACTGTGAAAGACTCATTCCATAAACCATGTATAGATGACATTAAAATATAGTTTTATAAATCTTAAATGCAGCATCACTTCTTGTGTTTGTTCTGTTAGGTGTTCATTATCCAAATATAAAAATCTTTCCTGAAAGTGTTTGCTGTCTGAACTGTTCGTTAACCGATCACCCACTGTATTTAGTTATGTAATTAATTTATCACTGTAAACCTTGAATTAAGTTATTATATTAATTAAAGAACAAGATAACTACAGTTTAACACCAATAGAAAGTGGTTATCTTATCTCAATTTTTAATTACATAATATTTTTGGATGGTGAACCTAACCATTCTTTTAAGCTATCATACATATATTGATAAGATTTTTTCAAAAACTTTTCTAAATTATAAAGAGGAAAATTCCTAAATTTCATTTTAGATAACTTTTTTGCAATGTAATAAAAATAGAGATGCTCATAGTTCCTGCCTGTTTATGCTGTTTTTATCATTTACATATTTTGTTTCAGTTAATTTCAGTAATGTTCAAAGTGTTACAAATATGAAATAAAATTATAATGTAATTTAATTACAATTTTAAAACTAGTCATTCTCTTTTAGCTTTGGAATCTTCATATGCCTTTAAAATAAATTAATCAAATGTAAAAGTCTTTAAAAAAAATCTTATAGTTAAACTGAGAAACAATGAATAATAGTGAATGCTAAGAATTATATGCTATTTTAAATTACCATAATTTTAGTGTGTGTGTGTGTGTGTGTGTGGTGGCTTATTTTATTTTAATGTAATGTAAAAGTTACACATTATCTGACTGATTAATTTCTCTTTAATTCTTCTCAAAGTAAAAATATAATTAAATTTATTATATTGGTGTATTTATAAAGCAAAAGTATTACTTGTTCTTTGAAAATTTTAAGTAATATTATGTCTAAAATTTGATGTTAAAAACTACTCACATTTACTTCTTGAGGTACAGGTGGTTCATCCCACATTTTTATCTAAAAAATAAAATAAAATATTAAAAAAACAAATTATAAAAGTGAAGATTATAAAAATGACAATGAATGACATTTAACAAGAACAAACAGTTCACTAAATTAATTAAAACAATGAGAAATATTTAACAAAAAAATCTAGAATAATACTAGAGAACATGCAAGATTATTACATTTGAAAAGCACAACTCATATACATTCTAGGAAAAAAAATTTTTTAAATCAACATAGTTCAACTTCATTTGTCAAACACATCATAACAATTTACATATGCTAGATGACCTTAACAACAACCAATTTATATAAACTTGTTCTTTGATTGTGCATGCATTTTCAATCACCCTATACAGCATTCTGTAATACACTTATTCACATAAAATTAGTACACCAAAAAGGAGTTGTCAAAATCAAACAAAATTGTACAACTGTAATATAACAATGATATAGGTAAGTGATTACAAAATGAAAGCAAAAAGATCATTTATTGCATGATAAACTACAAATGAAGGGTGGTTCCAGTACCATGTTGGATCACCTCTAGCTTGAATAAAGAAGTGATATGGGCAGACATGGAAGTATACAGGTGCTGTATAGTGTCCTGAGGCATCTCAGTCCACAGTTGCTGCATGTGGTTATCTAGTTCAGCCATACTTCTAGGCTGTTCAACTTGGCATCCCAGGTGATCACTGACATGTTCAATTGGCGACAAATCAGAACCTGGCAGGTCAGGGAAGTGTGGCAATGTAGCAGAAACAGTCCTGTGACACCCTTGCTGTGTGTGTGATTAAACATTATCCTGTTGGAAAATGACTCTTGGGAGCCCTGCCATGAGAGGTAACACATGTGGCTGCAAGATATCATTTACATACTGCTGGGCTGTCATGGTCTCTTGGATCACTTCACTTCCACTTTTTATAAATCTTTATTGAAACTGCCTCAGTACCACAAGGCATCACTGAGGTAATATTACAAAGGATATTTATTACATTGTACAAGGATACCAAATACATGTCATATATAATTATGAATAAGAGCAGGGCTTCTTAAACTTTTTTATTCAAGACCCATTTATGATTGTGATTTTTTTCGCAACCCCCCAAAAAATATAAAGATATATACAAATTTGCAAAAACAATAATGGTGTACTACCACAGTTCACTCTTGTGTTACAATGGAACAGAGACAAATGAATACATTGAAAAGCCACAACACTACACTAGTTCACACTACAATCAGTGTTGCTGAATCGTTGTCTCGCTGCACCATAAGTGACACATAGCACAACTCACAAAACCTATGACACAAAGTGTACCATTTTCAAAGTCTCACAAATTATTTTCAATATTTTGCATTAAAATCTCACAACCCCAAGATTTTGCTAAGTGACCCCAAATGGGGTCATGACCCATAGTTTAAGAAGCCCTGAATAAGAGGAATAGAATGTATAAAATATAATATGTACAGTACATGGAAAATGCAATCATGATACATAAAATATTTGTAGAGTGTTATTATACATACAGTAATTACATGATACATAGAACTCTGTAGAACAAACAATGCAAACAACAGATTGTAACTAATTTGCCTCCACTATGGTGTTGACAAGAACCAAGTTAGACAATAGTTGTCCATTTAAAATAGGCTGATATTAGTTTGTTGAAAGAGCACAGGTGGATTTGTTTCCTATAAGTTTGTCCAAACTGTAAAGCCACTCCATATCTGCTGACATCAGCATCCTGATATTTTGTTGCTTATTCTCCAGCATCAAACAGCTAAAAAGATAATGTTTCACCCCATCTGGCACCCCAAAGATACAACAATTCTGTTGGATGCTTTGCCAACCTATGGAGGTAGGAATAAAACATTCCAGTTAGGAATTGAGTAGTGTTATGATAAATGGTAGGACTTATATTTGTGGAGACAATGGGGAACAATTCCTTTGTAACCTACCCCTTTCTTCTGCCTCCTACTGTATCTGCCATTTTCGGACAGCCTGCTTAAGCAGTCAGTAGCAAATGTAGCTGTGGAATAGCCTGATAACATGATTCATGCAGGGGAAGAGCTGCTGCAGAGTAGGCCAAATAGTCAGCCCTCTCATTACCCTTTCAGCCAGAGTGGCCCCTAACCCATAGAATAGTGAATATGTTGCTAGCATTGCTGACTTCTTCAAGAATGTTTGCTACAATGAGATGTCCATATAGTAAGCCATAAAGTGCTTCCACCAACATTGTTGAATCTGTAAAAATATTGATGTCCATGCAACTATGGTGTTGGCTGCACTACTTAATGGTTGCCAAAATAGCACACAGTTCAGCTTGGAACAACAATGCAATTATCACAAAGAGGTATATAACATCAACTACTCCATGAACAGTCAAGTGGGCTACTCGAAGCTGGCATGGTCATGTGGACTAAATAGTTTAATGCAATAGTCTTAGTGAAGTGACACAGATGATGGTATTATGCATCAAATTAAAGTTACAACCAGCATCCCATTAAAAGAAAATAACTGAAATTGATGATAAAAACTAAAACTAAATAAATTAAAACTAAAAATAATGATTACATTTAAAAATAATAAAATAATAATTAAAACTCTTGCCTTTATATCAAAACCAAAACTGAAACTAAAATAAAAAAAAAACAATTAAAAATTAAAACAATGTTTTTAAAAACTATTTAAAAATTGTTCTGAAATTTTCAAATTGTAAATCAAATTAATTTTTAAATTTACATTAATTTGTATGCATCAGTGACAAAACATTTTGCTTTTAATATATATAATATAAAATATAGATATAAATCAGGGGTGTCCAATCTGCAGCCCGCATGCGGCCCAAGGCAAGTTCCAATGCGACCCAATAAACGTGTAAACAAAACCAAAAAATGTTTTAATTTTTTTATTATTTATTTATTTCAATGTCATAAATTCAAAAAAGAAGTTTCACAAAGTTATAAACCTTTATTCATATTTTATTTTTGAGTGGAAAGGAAATATTTTCAAATACTTGGAGATGTGTGAATGAGGAAGGATTACTAAATAAAGCTGGAGTTGTGACTCAAAATAAAACCCAAATTTGGGAAAAGGAGGGAAAGGTGAGAAAGGACAAAAGATAAAAAGTAGTGAGAAAGGTTAAATAGATGTTATGCAAATATTGACCCTTAATTTTCCAACCTTTCTCACTTCTTTATCTTTTCTCCTTTCCCCGCATTTGGGTTTATAATCCTTTGAGTCACAACTCCAGTTTTATTTAGTATTTCTTCCAACATTGCAAGATTTGGCTACATTGCGCCAAATGTGGCTACTTTTTTTTTTTTGTTTGACATAGAAATTATCATTTGATGTATTGGCTACTTCTTGGGCTACATGTTATTTATAAATATATTAGTTGAATAAAAATGCACTTTAAAATGGTGTTTTGTCACTTTTTATTAATTAGAGACCCAAATAAAACAAATATTTGTGTTTTTCAAATAATAAATGAATTTATCTATTTCTAAGTAAAAATTGAAAGTGTCTGTCGAAGTAATTTTTTAAAATATCCTTTTTCGTGATAAAGATTTAATACTTATTATTATAATATAGACATGTTAATCCTTAAATATACTTGTATATTTGGCCACAAGTATATATTATATATACTTGTGGCCCAAAACTCCTTGACTCCAATGTGGCCCAGAGAAACAAAAAGGTTGGACACCCCTGATATAGATAATAGTAACAAATAGTAAAACATAAATAATTACATACATAATCAACCTGATAAACATTACTAATCAAATGATATGAAGAGATAGAGCAAAAAGTAGTCATAAACCTGCATAGAAGAGCATATTATTAAGCAAAATTGTCAAAATCATGAAAGATCCCATTCAACTGTTATTTGCCATCCTCTTAAAAATATAGGTATAGTATAATTTAATTGAAAGATCTGAGGACTTGAATTCTACTCATTTAATTACTTAGTTATTTTCAAAAAGTAAAATTAAGCTAAATTAAGAATGTTTTATTATTTTTATTTTCTTTGGCTAATTTTGTCACCCTCTAGCAGTTTGACTCTGTGTAGCCGCCCAACTTGTCCACCCCTGTAGACAGATATCAACAACAGACTTTACAATAACCAAACAGACAGCACAGTTTGATATATTGTACCAGAAAAAATATTTGCATATTTCATGAAATATATACAGGACACTGCATTTTTACAAAATGGTTACTTATCTGGGTTACTTGTAACTAGACAACGTAAAATTAATCATATGTTACTGTCCGATATAATGATATATGTTGCTTATACCTGTTTATCAAGAAATTTTATAGGAGAACAATTATTGCTAGTGAGACATGTCATTACATTTGGTATTATAAAAACAAATGAGCGAGATCATTCTATACATTTGTGCTCTTTGTGTTAAAAAACATTAGCTTTGACATTTGTCCCATCAGGACTGTATTTACAAGTGAGCTATGTTACCTTTTTGCTTAGGATCTCAAGTTTCAAGGGACCAAAAATTTTTACAAAAAAGAAAACTGAAGTCAAATCTTGTAAAAAAATTTTTTACAAACCAACAAAATATACTTTAAATACTATACAAAATAAAAATTAGTTAATATGCTTATGTTAATTCTTTTTCTTCTTATGACTGACTTTTAAAAAAATGTTAAGGGTTGGTAAGGGATCTCACACAGAGTTCAGATTAGGGCCTCGGAATGCTTAAATCTGGCCCTGTATCCCACACAAAATTACTGAGATTTTAAACTTTAAGGAAAAATCCTTTAAAACTGACAGCATAACTTGTTCATATAAAGATGGACAATCTGAAAACTTTTTTGCCAATTCTTAACAGTCAAATCCACTCTTTCTGTCAGTAATATTTATGAGCTTCTCCGATTTCTGATTTCCAAATCATCTGTTTTTCATGTGGGAGTAGATGAAAACTTATATTGGGCTCCCAAATGACTTTGAAATTGCAATTTGGAATGCAACAGAAAGCTTTGCTTTTTCTATTGCTATTCATCTTTACTGTTGACAATACACAAGAATGATTCAAACAACCCAGATAAAATAGTTTTGTTTTTAAACAATACAGGGCGAGCATCCAGTGAAAAATGCAAATTGTGCAGAAATGTCCAAAAAATGTTTAATCAGCAAAGTAAACTGGAAAAAATTTATAGTTTACTGGAGAATACCACAACTTGCCCCAGACCTTCTGGAATAGTCATATTACTGATTAAAGTATGTTTGACATGTTCCATTCCTATGGTAGGTGTGTGGTGCAATGTAAACATAATACAGAACTGAACAAAGAAAACATTTTTCCCACAATGAAACAATGGAGATCAATGCTTGTTTAGGATGTACGAGTGCATCATAAGTGCTTACACTTCATCCATAGCATTATGAAACAGTACATTTACATTGACATACTGAAGGAAAATTTGCCCATCAGTGTTCAGAAAATGGAACTTTCCAACAATTACATGTTCAAACAGGGCAAAAATCCAGAGCATACAGCTCAAACCATGCAAATATGATTACCATACAACATCCCCATTATCTCAAAACACCCACCACAAAGTCCTGTGTGGGAGAACAAAGGCCAAGCAAGTTAAATGCGCACTGTAAAGATTGAAATAAAAAACTGTCATAGAGATCAATATAAAATGACAGCAATCAGAAACTTAAATGATATGTACAGTAAAGCACCATGCGATCAGCTTACAACCTACAATCAGCCCACTTTACATGGCAAATTTTGGCCTGGAATATCTCAGTTCATAAATCAGCCTTGCCAAGTTGTACTGTACATAATATCACAAAAGTGCTCAGCAATTAAATAAAGAGAAACAAAACACCCTTTTTTGCTGAGAAATAAATATAATTGTAAAAAACAAACATTTTCAGCCCAATTAATGCCATCTTCAGGTTGAAAACAAAAATGGAACGCTTGGTACTTTCTGCTGTTTTACCTTTTCTCAAGAAATGCCAGAACCCAAGGCCCGGAACTCCAAGATTGTTTGCTTTCGCTAAGACCCACAAGACCAGAATTGAGTTAAGGCCAGTTGTAGAGAAATGCAGAGGACCCACCTTTATATTAGAAAAAAGGTTGCACGAATATTTATCCTCACACCTTGATGCTGATAGTCTAGTGGCACAGGATCCTCTTGTTGTTGTCAAGGAAATACAAGGTATATCTTTAATGGAAGATGAAGTGGCGACAGTTTTAGATTATGAGAGCATGTATCCTTCAGTAATGATTGAGTCTTGCGTGGATGCGTTATTAGATTTCTTGTACATAAAAAACTCCCAGTTGCTTCTTTACACCCACGAGCTAGAAGGACTGGCTAACCTAGTATGCTATGAGTCATGCTTCACCTTTTGTGGTCAGGTCTACAGACAAAAAAGAGGGGTTCCGATGGGAAATCCCCTCTCAGGAATCCTTTGTGAATTAGTTGTTAGAAGACTAGAAAGAAGGGTTCTTCATAGTTTCAAAGAAGATATCGTATATTTCAGCAGGTATGTGGACGACATCCTTATCTTATGGAGAAATAATAGTAGGGTGCATGAATTTATGAGTAGAATCAATGATAACAATGATGGACTTAAATTGAGATTAGAACAAAAGAGTTCCTTGAATGTATTCTTGGACATTAATATCCAGTTTATGAAAGGGCATTTCTCCACAAGCATTTATATTAAACCTACACACACCCCATTGTATATACCCTCCCAGTCCATGTATCCATATCGGTATAAGATGGCAGCCTTCCAAGTGTTAATAAGGAGAGCTTATTTATATTGTGACTGAGTCAGTGACAGGGTGAAGGAGATTGATATAGTATTGCAGATGGCCCAGACCCTGGGTTACAGAAAAAGTGTAATTGTAGGAATGCTTAAGAAGTATGAAAGGGGCATAGTAAAAAGAACCTTAAGTAATGTTCCTACTAGGCTCACGAAATTTACTTATAATAATAGTATGAATAGTGTTATGAAAGAAATTGCCAGTTGAAAGGAATCAAGAATGATTTTAAGAAGATCCCCTAATTTGTATAAGATCTTGAGAAATGATAAGGATAGTATCAAAGTGGAGGAGAAAGCAGGGGTGTATAAGATTCCTTATGAGAACTTACAACTGGATGTTAAAAAAGATTATATCGGCGTCACCACAAGAAACTTGGGAGTAAGGCTCAAAGAACATAGATACACCATAAGAAAAGCATCTAATTCAACGATTTTGTCCCAAATGGCGCAAGCCCAAGGCTCTGAGGTAAAATAAGACGAGGCAACAATCATCAAATCTCTGTCTTCCCCAACTTTAGCAATGACAGCTGAGAAGATTGAAATATACAGAAGTAGGATAGGAGAAGGCTGTTTAAATGCAAGGGATGCCGAGAGCCTGCCTTCGGCATGGAAGTACTTGGTTAAGAAATTTACTAGAAACTTGGACCAGAATTAGTACATTGAAGATTTATGTTATTTTTGTTTTATTATTTGTTTTATTTGAATTTTTATATACTCTTCCGTTATTTTTCTCTTGTAAAAAAATTTTAATTTAAAATTTTTATGTTCTATTCATGGGACATTTACGATCCATTTTCGTTTTCGACCTGAAGATGGCCTATTAATTGGGCTGAAAACGTTTGTTTATACAATTGTATTTATTTCTCGGCAAAAAAGGGTGTTTTGTTTCTCTGTACTGTACATATTTGCAAAAAAATTGTTTAGTGATGTGCGGTTGCTTTGAACTTCAATTATAAGACAAAACACTTTTGCCTTACGCAGAGGTCCGATATGAAATATGAAATTTGAGAAAAATTTTGGAAAACATTCCTAAAACATTGTGATAAAATAAATTAATACAAACACGAACAAAAAGACTTTGCATTTGATGTGGAGTCAATTAACTGTCGAAATGTTTAACAGATTTCTAAAATATTACATATAATATTTAGACACAAGCAAATAAAAACCAAAACTTACATTTGATTAAACACAGAAGCGAAATTTTATACGCAAGTAAAATCTATTTACAATCTTCGCATTAGACCGCTTGCCAGAATTTGAAGTTTTGTTTGCCAACTTCTACCGAACTACATGTTGGAAGTAGAAAAATAGCCAAAAACAAATAACATTTAATAAAGTAAATTTCTCAGTTTAATTTAATTTTTATAATTTAATTTGAAATTGATTTCTTAAAATTTAAAATACAAAATTAGTACATTTTAAATAAGTAGTAATAAATAGCATATATGACTAGTACTTTTTTATTTTTAATTCTTTCCCGCCCTGTGGGCACTAAGAGGGCCTCTTTTTGCAAGCCCATTATGAGTTCGGCCAGGCCCACAATGGGACTGTCGGGTGGTGAGGGACGGGGCGCGACATATCCGAACGGACCACCCCCGAAAAATTCCTGGGATTTTTCGAACTGTTCAGATTCGAGCCCGGGTTTCCCAGAGCGGGGGGCCCGGGAGCTGGGGCACCTTGACCACTCGGCCATCCGGCCGCATATATGATTAGTACTGTACTGCCGTTTCTAGGGTAATTTCAACCTCTCAGGGTAATGTTTAGGGTAAAGCCGGTCCTACCATAGGGAGAGAACGGAGCAGCCGCTTCAGGCGCTAAGTCCTAGGGGCGCCTCAGTGGTAAAGAAAATTAAAAGGTATAAATTAGGGGCAACCAAGGGGGGCGTCATAATAGGATCTCGCTCCATCCTAAAACTTGTCTCGGCACTGGTTTAGGGTAGTCTTATATTTAGGGTAAATGTAGGGTAAGACTACCCGTGATGTCTGATGCTATTACCCATCGCGCCGGAAGTTTCGCCAGGAAAAGTTTTAGCCTAAAACGGTTCTGTTTTCCACTATAACTGGAGGGTTTTAAGATAGGACAACACAGCTAAAGAAATAAAGCAGCTAAAGAAATAAAGCAGATTGGAAATTTCATTCGAATCTTCAAAACGAATGTTAGAACTCAAATATACAGTATATGTAATTTTTATGGCGGTTTTGACCTTATCTTTTCTTCTAAGCTATCTGGAACTTTTTAATGGAATCAGTTAGTGGACTGAATATATATTTATATCTCCATGATGTGCTGATGAATGTACTGGTTGTCACATATATGCATTTACTGTATACAGTAGAGCATCGATTATCCGACTCAATTGGGGACTCGGGTTGGTCGGATAACTGAAAAAATCGGATAATCGAAAAGAATGAAAAAATACATTATTAGTATAGTATATTAGCATATTAGTATATCCCATGTAATTATAGTATATCGCTATTAACACTCCGACGGCCATTGTCTCGGATGGCAAATCAGTTCTCCAGGCAGTCGTCAACGTTGATTTTTCCTCTCCAGCGATTATTATTGACCTAGCTGCAACCATCAGCTGTCACCCAACACCCCTTGAAATCGGGTGGACCCCTGGTCACGTTGGCATCGCCATGACACTCCCATCGGCTCCTGGTGGAGACCTCTCATGGCACGTGACCTCATACGCCAGATGCGGGAATCGATCATCCGCAACTTCACCGATACCTGGTCTACCATTCTTCGGGAAAAAGGTCGCGACCATCTCCGACCTTTCGCCCCTTGGATATACCATCACGCCTCGTCTCGCCACACAGAAACCCTATTGGCTAGACTTCAAACAGATACGGCTCCCCTGAACAACTTCCTCTATTCTCGACGCCAATGCGCCTCGCCAGATTGCCCCCACTGTGGCTCGCCAGAAACTTCCGTACACTATTGGCTTGTCTGCCCGCAATACACACGGGCCCGCCAAGAGCTAAGCCGCCTTTTAACCTTGGACCTCGCGATCGTCCGTACCTTAACTCCGATATACTGGCCTCATACCGACCTTCCTCCTCGCCAACATATCGAAATCTTGGAGCGTTTTGTTCACCGTATCAACCGCTTTACCTAATTTCAAGGCGGAGTGATTCGAAGAAAAAGCCAGTAGGCTAGATTCTCCATATTAATAGGAAAGAAAGAAAGAAAGAGAAAGGGAGACAGAATGCCTTCCGGAAGGACTTGGAGGGAAAGCAGGCCCCTATTCAGGCGTCATTGGCAAGGAGGAAAACCCGGAAAAACTCCAGCTACCAGCTCGTCCGAGTGAGGCGCAAACCCCCGATCGAACTCTGGTGTTTAGGGTCTGGTCACCACCATAAAGCGGAGACGGAGTCCACTCATAGTTAAAAAATTAAATCTCGTTTAAATACTGGCTTCCCTTTTATGGTCTAGCCAGTGTTGCCAGCTAAAACACGCAAAAATTTAACAAAAATAATATTAAAGTAGCCAAGACATAGCCAAATATTCTAGTGCCACATCACTAGTGGACATTTGAAATTTGCCGTCTAGAACGGTCGGTTAACCGATGTGACGGTTAATCGGAGGTCGGATAATCGATGCTCTACTGTATTTTACTTCCAATATTCTTATGAAAGTTTCTACTTTTGAATTAATAAATATATTTTAAATTTTTCTTTGATTAATTCAGAAAAGATTATTAGATAATCGCATAGAGAATTTGCATTTAAATCTAAATTCAACACCAATGAAATCTATTATTCGGTCTCGAATCTAATCTAGTCATTTTTATAGATTAAATCTTTTCAGGGTCGCTATAGAGTTGGTATGTAGTATTTGAAAGGCGAATATATCTATCATTTTCACTTTTAAAAAATTCTACTTTCCAAGTAATTTGTTTAATCAATTATACGAAGGCCTCAATTTTTGACATACAGTAAAATGACTGGAATAAAAAAACGATAAACTAATCAATATTATCATAATTATCAATTTGGATTCTTTCTAATGATAGTTAGATAAAATTAAAAGAAAAAAATATTTCTATGTTATCTATCTACTTTCCAAAGTTTTCTGTCGCGCTGAAACTGTTTTTCATGGGCATCATAAATTTGGCCAATCCCACAATAAACCGATCGAACGAATGGATATATTAATATTTCTGGGTCATGAAATTTCTCAGTGGAAGATCCGAAACGTCTTGTCCAAAACGGAATCGAATCCGGATCTTCCACAAAAACAAGGTTACGTCTGTAAAGACGTAGCAAAACAACTGTCGCTATCATTCCAATTTTTTGTTTTTAATTCTTTGGTTTTACGGACACCTTAAGGAGTTTTTTTAAATGCCAATACGGACTGGGCCAGGTTAGCAATATAACGATTTTTAGGTCCGCTACATTGCGGGCCCGGATGTTAGATTTTGTTTCTCAGATTACCCATTTTTCCTGAAAACTTCCAGTCGCGACCCGGACTCGAACTCGGATCCTCCAGTCGGAGAGTAATAAAGGTGTCACCCTTATTATTTTCCCCGACTATAAAATCATATTTGAATATTACAATGTATTTATCGCTATTACAATACTAGAGAGGAAAAAAAAATAAGGTTTTTCTATAAAATTTGACTTCTCGCCATATCAATAGTATTCACTTTTTTTTTTTTTTTTTTTTTTTAACGAAAGTTACAATAAAATCAAAAAGTTAATTCAAATTATTTTAATGTACTATTTAATTTTTAATATTTTCAGTGAACATTACTTATTTTATTTTTTATTTTTTACATTATTATCATATAGACATATTTTTGTCAAATATATGGCAACCGTGATGAGTAGCGAAATTAATGGCGGTTAGATTCGTATGTTTTATAATGTGAAAACATATATCTTGTTTCTACTGCATATACGAAATTGATTTTCTTTAAAATTCCATATTATACCTAACTTGGATTAATATTCAGGATTTTAAAAACTAAATTTAGAGTAAGTGCAACTTGAATTTACTACATTTGATTTTGAATTTCTTAGAATAATAGTTTCGGTAGAAGTTACTTTTATGTAATTGTTCATATCAATATGCTCTACAACTGTGTTAAAGTCCCAATCGCGTCATTCGGAGCTTGAATTGAGCCTCTTTTTCTCTGATTTCTGGTGTAGTCTGAAAGCTTTTGATTCAAGATAGGCAGTTATGTATTTGGATATATGTTTAATAGGAGCTTTCTTAGAAAGAACAGAATTAAATAGGCCTAATTACTATGGATGTGGATCCATAACAGAGAGGTGACATATCCTTCAATATTTTTATGTCAGTAGATTGTCTCCCCAATGTATTTTCATCTTATACCTCACTACAGAAATTAGGAATAGAAACAAGTATTTTACACAACACATATGCTTTATTTTTTAAATTTACTTAAAACCCAACAACGGAAAATTTTTCATACTCATTTCATTGGCCTTGTCATCCTGATATATGTGTATATTGACACTGATGAATACAAAGATAAATTCATATATATATATGTATATAGGAAATATGTATATTACATTTTGTAATATACATATTTCAATAATTAGTTGAATAATATAATAGAAGATTTAGCTGAATCCCTCTTTAATCTGTAGATGTACAATATTTCAAAATTTAAATTTATGTTTTATTTAACATGTAAAGTATTTAGAAGGCAGAGAATCTCCAAATTGAAGCCATATGATGAACTATAACATTAACCAAAGAAATTTATTCAAAATGAAGGCAATGAAGTGGCAGTTAGTCAATGTAAATTGAAATTGAAAAGCCAACACTGTCACTCACTATAATAAACAAAGAATACAGAGGTCATGCAACTTTACTATTTCTTAAACATTGATTCAGTCATAGGACATAGTTTGAATTTTAAACAAGGATTGGCAGCATTGTTGATGGCTTATAAAGAAATTAAAAAATATTTGTAAAGCAAAATGAGCAAATCTTTAATTCTTAGCTGTTTTAAGAATTGTGGTGCTTCTCATAATACAAAATAGTTTTAGGAGTTTAATTGTATTAAGGTATACACAAATTTTTCTTATAGTATTGTATTTTTGATGTAAAATTAAAGTCAGAGATTAAAAATAAAAAATATTGTTATTATTTTTTAAAGGTCAGTTAAAACATTTTTATAAACATTTTGGATATTGCCTTTATTCATCTTCAGATCAACATGTAGAACAAAAGATTTCAAAATTCTTTTCTTTGCACTTGTGTCATAGGGTTATCATTACAAGCAAGGTAAGTGCATTTTCTGTCCTTGTTTTTAAAGTTCTTTGTGATACCATCCAAATCCAAAGAGCTAGATATACACTCCCTTTTTAATTATTTATGAGGTTATTATATGTGGAGGTAGAGATGACCAGCTCTTGCACTGTACTTACTAGGTAGTTACTGTTATGCTGTATAATAATATCTGCCTGTTTCCAGTAAGGACAATGGAAGATCTATTCATCTCTATTTTCACATATGCTAATCTTATAAATGGAAAAGGTACCATATGTCTAGATCCTTGGTATTACAAACTAAAAACAAGGCTAGAAAATGCACTTATGTCACTTAATGGAAACATTACTATGCAAGTGAAAAGAAAGGAATTTTGAAATTCTTCATTCTACTTTCAATCAGAAGATAGATATAGGCAATGTCTGAAAACATTTATCAAAATGTTTAACTGACCACTAAAAAAAGATAACAATGGATAAGATAATATATATTAATTTCTAAATTAAAAAAAAAAAAATAAGGTGCATAAATTTTAATATGTAAAATAGAATAAATGTTGTATAATAAAAATTTTCATTTCACAATTATCGTTTACAAAACATTGCTCATAAATCCACAGTTTTACCAACTGCCATTTAATTTGATATAACTCCTGCATTTGGTAAGAATGTCAGTATTCAAATTTTGTTAAATGTTTTATAATTCATATACATATAACTAACACCTTATTCTTGCCGAGAAATATAAATTTATTCCAAACAAACATTTTCAACCTGATTTACAGGTCATCGTCAGGTTTAGAGCCATATTCGAATTAAAGGATTCCATCAATGGAATACAAAATTCAAAATTAAACATTAACTAAGCAACAGAATAAGATAAAAATAAAATTAAAATATTAAATATCCAATGGAGTAACATAAAACAAAAATATAAAATGTAAAAAAATGTACATAGAAGTATTAAGTAATACAGTTATTATGACTGGTTAGAGCTCTTATTAAACTTCTTAACTATAAATTTCCATGCAGAGGGAAGACTTTCTGCATCCCTCGCATTTAAACAGCCTTCCTGTATTTTACTCCTATAAATCTGCAACTTTTCCGCTGTCAACACCAAAGATGGAGAAGATAAAGGTTTTATGATGGTTGCCTCATTCCATTTGACTACAGATCCTGGTGTTTGCGCCATTTGGGACAAAATTGTTGCATTAGACTCCTTTCTGATATTATAACCATGCTCCTTGATTCTAAGTCCTAAACTCCTGGTGGTTACTCCAATGTAGTCTTTTTTAACGCCCAATTGTATATTTTCATAAGGTATTCTATAAACCCCTGCTTTCTCTTCCGACTTTATATCATCCTTATCATTCCTGAGGATTTTGTATAAATTAGGGGCCCTTTTTGTAAGCATCCTCAAACCTTTTCTGCAAGCAATCTCTTTCATAACACTATTCATACTTTCATTATATGTAAAGTTTATGATTCCAGTGGGAGCATTTTTAAAAGACCCTTTCTTGATGTTCGCTTCATACTTCCTAACCATTCCCAGAATTGCGCTTTTTTGGTAACCTAGGGTCTTGGCGATGCTTATTATTCTATTTATTTCTTTATTCCTGTCTAGTATTGTTTCACAATACAAAAATGCTCTTCTTATTAAAGCTCTGAAGGCTGCAATTTTATATTTATACGGATCCTTAGATTGGGAGGGAATATACAATGGGCTGTGGGATGGTTTAATAAAAACGCTAGTGAACAGGTGGCCTTTTTTGAATTTAATACCAATGTCTAGAAAATGCAGATCCAAGGAACCTAGGTTACCGAAAAAGCGCAATTCTGGGAATGGTTAGGAAGTATGAAGCAAACATCAAGAAAGGGTCTTTTAAAAATGCTCCCACTGGAATCGTAAAATTTGGAATAGTAATGTTTGGAATAAATTTATATTTCTCGGCAAGAATAAGGTGTTAGTTATATGTATATGTATGATTTGCTGAGTACTTTATGATATTATTGTTTTATAATTCAAAAATTTGTTTCTTGTGTACAGTACATTGTTACAAAGTGTTATGTAGCCTACAGAATCATGGCAGTGACTCTATGCCAAGTAAAAAGTCACTGACTATATATACAGGAATCAGAGTTGATTTTTCTGATCTCCAAAGGCTTAAAGTGATTGTGAATATCTCATTCAAAAGATAATTGATTTCTTAGGTAATGTGCAAAATTTCAGATTTTTCTATAAATGGGTTGCTGAAATATAAGCAGTGAAAAGTGCAAAAATTTCCAAAAAAAAAAAGCTGCATTTTCTTTCTTTTTTTTTTTTTTTTTGACAAAAACAATTTTCACTTTAGGCTGGGAATGTTATATGGAAATATGGAAGAGAAATCACATCAAATCATCATTAAAAACATGTACAGTAAGACCCCGCTTAACGCTGCCTTACTTAATGCTGATTTGATATAACACAGTCTGCTCAAAGCCTGAAAGCTCAAAATTTATGCCAATTTAAATTATCGTAGCATTTTATTGATTCGTATATAATATGATTATTTACCAACATGAACCAATCAGAAAAAAGTGGCAAAAAAGTGTACTTTCTTTAAATCTATGTTTGTTTGGTGCAATTTTGGAAAAATATAACATCACGGATGCCATGGGCAATATCGGCTTGACTTGGCAAGAATTAACTAATTAATGCACGAATGAAGTGTGGAAGAAGTTACAGCTGAAGGTATCCAAGAATTCTCAACAAGAAAAGCCTATTGCTGTATCATTAGGTTGACCGAAGTCAACCTCACCAATACAGCAGGATAACATCTATCAGTTTGATAACTGATAGGAGATGTAGATGAGCAGGATATTCAGGAGTTACAGCAGGTTTCTGGCAAGAGTCTTACTAACGATGACCTTCAAGAACTGGCAGAACAAGGAATTCATTTGGAACTGGAAAATAGAGATTCTGAAAATAAAGAACCCAAAGAATTTCTCTACAGATTTCCTTAGTAAAAGTTTGGTAAGATAAGCAAAATTGTTGATCAAATTGTAGCCAATGATCCAGATTTTGAAAGGAGTGCAAAAGCGAAATGAGACATTTTGGATGTGATCTTCTGCTACTGATATTTGCTTAAGAAAAGAAAAAAGTGACAAATGAAACTTCATGACTTTTCTGAAATTCTTGTGTTTTTGCAATAAAATCAGGATCTTCATCACAAAAAATGAACTTTATATTTTTGTGTGCATATGTTTGTGTTTTTTAACATATATTATTGTGCAAATTAATATGAAAAATAACTTTAAATTAATAAAAATAACTTAATATTAATAACTTTAATATGAAAAATAACTTTAATAAATAACTAAAGTAAAATTTGTTTATTTATTTTTGGTTGCATGTTCCCCTTATTTACTCTATGTTAAAATGACCTCGCTTAATGCTTTGTCATCTAGGAACGCATCCCCTGCATTAAGCGGGTCTTACTGTATTTATTCAATATTGCGAGTACTTTCAAAGACATGGCCTTCATTATTAGACAAAAATCGAACACAAACTTTAAACATAAGAACATAAATGCAACTTTTTTTTTTTAAATTCAGTGAAGGCACGAGGTTGGAATACCAACATACAGTCGACCCCCCTATAACGCGGTAGATACATTCCACTTTATAAGAATTTCACATTGTAGGAATCCTTAACTCCTTAAGCCTAGAGCAATTTTTGATATTAATGTAATTAAACATAAAAAATACTTAAAACTGAAAAAAAACGAAAGAAACGGCGAGCATGTTTTCTGATAAGTTATTTTTCTGCGAAAAATTCGTTGAACTTTGGAGACATCATTAATAGAAATAATTTTTATGGCCATTGAATAAGAAATGTTTTTTTCACAAGAAATGTATAAAATTACAGTACTGTATTAGACTTACAGTACCTAATTTATATACTGTACAGACGATAGTAAACTCAACTTACCCGCCTAAACTCTCTGTAGCGTGTAAGTAGTTCGGCTGCTCGTCCACTATTGGTCCAGATATGACCAATCCTGTCGCGACACGAGTTGGCAATGACGTTTTACCGCATGTTATGAGTCTCTTTTAGTGTCTTTATACGAATACAGTCACAATTTTTTTGCTGTGATATACGAATCCGCATTATATGAACCCGCGTTATAGGGGGATCGACTGTATATTCTTGTATTTAAAGTTTGTGTTTGATATTTGCTTGATGATGAAGGTTTTATGTCTTCAAAAGTACTTGTAATTTTTAATAAACACGTTTTTAACATCAGTTAGGTGTGATTTTTTTTTTTCATTTGGCACTGAAGATGTTCCTAGAGAAAAAATAATGGGTCTAGAAAGTTCAAATTTTAAACTTAAGTTGCCCTTGATATCAGTAAGGTGTAGACACAACTTCCTGACCAATAGGCTGACGTTCTTGGGGTTCTTCATAGAGCTATTTTACTTTTAATTTTTATTGTTTAATTTTATGCTTTTAAGGATAAAACTGCATCAAAACAAATAATTTTTATTTAAATGCTATCCAGAATAACTAAAGCTTAAATTTATATGAATTAAAACTTGTTATAATGATTTTACAGTACTAATGGGATATTGAATGCGTTCAGTTGATGCTCAGTGATGGCTGCTGATTGACAGGTAAAAATCTTTTGGATATGCTTAAAATAAGTATCCAGAAGATTTTTATCTGTATTGTTTTCTACCTTTTGTTTTCAAGCACCAAGCTTATTGAAAAATGTTTTAACATATTCTCGTTTATGCTTCTCAATAAAAGTACACAACTTCATAACAATTGTAACACAAAACAAAACTTTATTTTATTCACACTGTGGGCAACACTCAGGCACCCAACACTCAACAAAGCATGACACTCACCATGTGGCACTCTGGTCAGTACTGATCAGCCACACAAAAGAATATACAGGGTTCCTACAAACCTGGAAAGTCAGGGATTTTCATTAGTGTTCAGAAAAAGTCATAGAAAAACAGGGAATTTGTTTCCTTAGTTGCCTTGTTTATTTTGTTTACTAACAGTAAGCAGCAAGAAGTATTGTGGTACAATGCAACTTATGAAAAGTGGGTGCAGAATATTTTCAGGATCCAAAATTTCAGCCAAACATACACAAAATTCCTCCAAAATTATAGCGCACAAAATATACAAGCATACAACATATCAATTATGCAGTATTATAAGTTTGAGAGAAAAATCTAATACTTTTAATAATCTAACATTGATAAAAAAATTTTCAAATATTTTAATACTCTATCTTTCACAATTTACACTTTTAATTTGATGGGGAGGTGTTAATTGAACTGATGAAAAAAAAATGATGATAAAGAACCAAAAATGATAAATAACTTCATAGTAATTTAAGTGATATTATTTATCATTGTTTATTTTATAATTTTGTGATTGCATAAGAAAACAATTTCTGATTTCTGAAACATTTTTCCCAGTTTATTAATATTTTATGAAGCTTGGAAAATTGATTAAGGGACAAATTTAATGAATTTATACTTTTGTACATGGATTATACAGAATTTTTTAATAATAATAATGGCTTTTTTTTCAAAGCCATGAAGTTTTACAGTTATGAGTTAATAACAGAATAAATTATTATTATTTTTTAAATAAAACATTTTAGTTTTATGTAGAGAAGATATGCCATAATTCTTTCTTATTTTTAATTTTACTAATTCATCGATTATAAAAAATATACTGTATTTACTTACATATAAGGCAAGGTTTTTATTCATTTTTCACTGCTTCAAAAACAAAGGTCATCCTATACGTGCAAGCAAAGAATTCTTTGTGTTTTTGCAATAATTTTTGTGAACTGTGCATTCCCATTTTTTACTGGATGCTATGATGTTTAAAAACAAAACTATTTTATGTGGGTCATTTGGATCGTTTTTGTGTATTGTCAGGAGTAAAGATAAATAGCAATAGGAAAAGCAAAGCTTTTGAATTGAATTCCAAATTGAAATTCCAAAATCACATGGGAGCCTGATATAAATTTTAATCCATTCCACTTGAAAACAGATGATTATTTGGAAATCAGAATTCAGAGAAACTCTTAAGTGTAATCAACAGAGAGTGGATTCAACTGTTAATAATTGGCAAAAAAGGTTCCAATTCTAGTTTCACGTGAACAAATTATGTTGTCGATTTTCAAGATTTTTCCTTAAAGTTTAAAAGTAATTTTTGCAGCACAATGTGTGCATTTATATGCATTTGATATTTTATTTGTAATTAAACGAAATAAAATTAGAATTGTATTAATAAATGTAATTTTTTTTATTTTGATCTTTAAAGTCACACCTTGTGCTATATGTGAGATCGTCTTATACATGAGTCAATACGGTATAACTGTTAATTAGAAAAAATAATCAGTTAAAAAGTTAGAGAAGCAATAGTGTATGTGCGTAGTAAGTTGAGATATTTTATTTTGTTAATATACCATACCGTAACACCCTATTCACACTGTATACTTTAAGCTAGCTTAAATAACAAAGTCAGCTTAATACCCCGTTTGCACCGAGCATTTCAATCTAGATTGTGACTAAAATCAGAGACTGTTCCGTGGTGCAAACGCTCTCGACTGTTTCAATCTCAACTGAAACGAGGTTCAATCGCGATCGACTGGAGAGAGTTCTTGAAACTAGATCCAGTCATAAGAGAGATCCCACAATCCCACGCACGTGAGAAAATACAGGATGGCTGCAGAACACGTGTTGGGCTATCAACAGAGAACTAAAAAAGACATCTGGAGAGATGACGACATCTGTCTATTATTATATGTATGGCAAGAAAAAGTATTTATTTCTAACCAAAACTTCCATTTTGTTTGTTGGTGTTTGTGACTTACCGCGTAGTTACGTCAGTTTTATGATCGCGTGTAATAGCCAGGTTCTTCTCGAGCGGACTGCCTGTGCGAACAGCACAAGGTTCGACTAGCGACAGTCACAATCCAGATTGTAGGTAAATCGAGATCGAAGTGAGTCGTGGATTGTGTGCGAACGTAGTATAAGGTATGAAACATGAACAAAACTGACTTAACGTTAAACCAGTTTGACTACAAACAACTGGCTCAGCTTAAATCTCTTTCTCAGACAAGCTTAAATTGCTTCAAGCTTTCCTTGAAGTCTGCCACAAGTTTAAAAAAATGGTGGAAGCGTAGAACAAATCATAGTTAAGCACACGTCTTTTCTTTTACAAGAAAAAAAACACACCTTTAACAAATCCAGCAATGAAACTAAATATTAATGTTTTCAATCAGTTTAACAAAATCTTTGAAATGGCGACTATGAGCCTTTTCTTTTGCTCATCGTCGCCATTTCAATGATTTTGTTAATGATACTCTCCCTGTTAACATGTATACACTGCTTCAGTACAAGAAATTTAAATAATAATAATATAAATTTCTGTCCAGAATCCATTCTTATCACAGTTTTGTCATTTAGATGATAATAGTGAGAGAATTGTGCTGCCAATGACAATGACATCACTGATAATGAATGTTAATGATTTCTAACTAATGTTTTATGTATTTTAAATAAGCTATTTGTATTTTAAATTACTAAATATAAATTAATTTATGATGATTTATCAAAAATGAGCAAAATTTTATTTAAAATGTAATATTTAGTGCACCCGCTTAAAGGCTAAGTGAATAATTTGCTTTAATTACCTAGTGTGAACGAGTAGTTAATCTTGTTTTCGGCAATGTGACTTAACTTAATTCTGCTTAAATATTAATCCTGCTTAAAATGTATAGTGTAAATAGGGTATAAGGGATGTGATGGTCACTGAATTTTACAAAGTTAGTCAGGGAAAGTCATAGAATTTAAAACAAAAATTTGAGTAGGAATCCTGAATATACTTATTCCTTTATTCCCTTGTTTTAGGCAGGAAAGTTTCACCCCACATTTTTAAGGAATTACAAAATACACTCCTGAGTCACATGACAATTTCCATTAAGTTTTATACCTCAAAACATTGAAATGAATTTATATCACATAATAAAATAATAAATTCACACAAAATAAAATAATAAATTGAACTTAACACTTATCTTTACCAAAAAAAATCTCTTAAGAAAAAAGTTTGACTGTAATCTAAATTTTCATAATATTTTCCTTGGTGAAATTTTTTTATATCTCAAATGATTTTGTTTAGATATCCATAATAACAGGAATGAGTTTTAGAATATAATAAAATATAAAATTTTAAAAATTGTAAAATTAATGTGTGCTTTTTTAATAATAAATATTAATATAAATTACATATAAAAATATAAAATAATGTTTGATATTTATAAATCATTACAGAGTAACCATGTCAGAAAATAATGATAGTAGATCTTATGAAATAAGATTTGTCATCCCAGAAGGTGGACTTGAGAAAACTACTGAAATTATGAAAGCTGCATTTGGAGCAATGCAAAGTAATAGCTTTGATCCTCTTTGGATTACAGAAACAGAATGTCTCCAGTTAACAGAACAGCCATCAAAATTGTTTATTATTGATCCATTTGAAGGAAAGGCATATAAACATTTAGTATCATTAAAATGCCGAATTTTAGGACCATTATGTATTCTTGAATGCATACAAACAAATCAATCTCTTCCCTACAGATCATATCCGGTATATAGTGTGTCAATGAGGAAAGTAATTGTTACGACTTCAAATGTTGATAAAAAGGTTCGAGAAGAAATATCTAAAAAAATAGAACTTATGGGTGGCTATTTTAATAAAGACCTTACCAAAAGTGTGACACATTTAGTAGTTGGTGAGTATATTTAACAGATATTTCTAGATAAACATTTTGAAAACATTTAGATTTTATCTTTTGAAAAAACAGAATATTTGAGATGAAACCATCTAAACTGCATTAAGTATTGAAAGTAATAATAAGTTAATAAACACCAAGTATGTTGTGTCAAAATAAACATATATGACATACAAAGTGCAGTATAAAATCAAACATACAGTTTGTAAGACATCTGGTGTAAACAATATTTACATTTTCTGGTACTAAAAATTATATCTCTGCATCAGGAACTAGTCAAACATTTTATGCACCCAATCCAGAAGACATGTCAAAATTTCTTACATAGGACATCACATACTTGAAATCCAAAAACACAGGGACCTTACACAATTTATATTGTCCTTCAACCAATCATATGCCTTCCTACACCATACAAAATACTCTTTTCAGGCATAACAAACAATATATACCATTACATAGAATGACACATTATTCTCACAGAGCAACAAAACAGTTGTCATAGAAACCACACATGACAGGAGAAAAACACTTATAGATTCTGTCATTCACAAATAACACAGAAACTGACATTTGGCATACATAGATTATAAGAAGGAATTCAACACCATCTTGCACTTTTATGATTATTACATCTATAAAAAATATTCCTAACACTCATAACATTTACAGAAAACAAAATGTACCACATTACACCTCAGGCTTCACAACACATATGGCAAGGCATTATTCAGGTGGAATTCTTCAATCCAATCTGATTCTGTTTGCCTTGAACTCAGTTAAACCAGTGGTTTCCAAGCAGTGAGGCATTCCTCCCAAGGGAGGCGCGGAACACCTTCAGAGGAGGCATGAGCTGATACACACAATGTTATTCAGTGTATGACTGACAAGTAAGTGTGTGTGAATAAAAATGGACAAATACAATGTGGTAGCAAATGATGTTTTTCCATCACTCTCTTATTTCTTTTCTTCATCACATAAATAATGATCATTAGGACTGTTACCATATATTTTACTTAATCTACTAACTAAACTAAACTGTCTTGATGTTTAGAATGGACCACTATTTGGAGGTACACTCAAGGAGGCATACTGTAGATTCTCTTTGGTCTGCAGAATTTGCAGACCAAAGTGAACCTAATAATAGTAAATAATAAAGAAAAGAAAAAGTGCAGACAATATGACACAAGTTATATAAAGTTCAGAATTTTGTTGTTTTTGTAGCAAATGTGGCTTCTACAGCCCCAGTGTGTCATTTGTCTCAAGTTCTCACCAATGACAGCCTTAAAAGATATCTTGAAACAGTGCATGAAAATTATGTAGACAAGGATCAAGAGTTTTTTGTTTGAAAAGAGATGGAATTGAAATGGCAGAAGACTGTAATGTCAAAAGAAGCTATGGTATTTCAGGAAGTATTGAAAGCTTCTTATATAGTGTGTATGAAAATTGCTAAATGTAAGAAATTGCACAGTATTGCTGAGAATTTGTTGCTTCCAGCAGTTTTAGAATTGTGTCACATTATGAATGGAGAGGCATCTGCAAAGGCATTACGAACTATTCCACTGTCAAATAATACAGTTTCGTGGCAAATCGATGACTTGACTACAGATTTGAAAATGCAGTTATTAATAATTCAACAAATAAAATAAAGTCAAATATTTATGTTGCAACTTGATGAATCAATCAATATTTCTTCACAGGCTCAGCTTATATATTATATGAGATTAGCCACAGAAATTTGTAAAATGATCCTAACAACAACTTCAGGTGAAGACATATTTGCTTAGTTAGTGAATTTGTCTGTGCTGAAGGCTTGACTTAGATTGATTGTACAGGTTTTTGCATCAATGGTACTGCAGCTATGACAGGGAAGAATAATGGCCTTGTAACTCAAGTGAAAGCTGTAGCTCTGGCAGTAAAATGACCTGCATATGGGTCTGACAGATTTAGAACTAAACATCAATCATTTTGTGCAATTCAAAACAAGCTCAAATTTTACATTTATGTTTACAGTTTGTGAAAATATGGAAAACAATTTTTTAAATTTACATTATTATAACTTTATTCAGAAGAAATAAATTCCTGGTTGTACACTATATACAGATATTATACATTTTATTTGTGCAAAGTGCTGTTGGTAGGTATATTTGTATTTTTAATAGTGCAGTTGTATTTTTCCTTCATATTTTCAATCAAACTTTACTGATATTATTTAGTTTGTAATGAAAAACAAATAAATACTGAATATAGAGCAATAAACACATGCATATTCCAGGGAGGCAATGTTGCATTCAAGCCCTGATCAAGGAGGCATACTGTAGAAAAGGTTGGGAACTTTTCTACAGTATGCCTCCTTGATCAGATTAAACAACAAAAAACTACAGCTACAACATCAAACACAGTACTTAACATATCTTACGTACATGGACAACATAAAATTCCATACATCTACACAAGCACAGTTAAATCATCATTTGGAAGTTACATACACTTAATCCATTGACATTCACTTGGTTTTTGGCCTGGACGACTGCAGAATATTCCTTTAAAAAAAGAATTCTTAAGAAAAAGATGATTTTATACTAAAAAATGGATACATCATTGATGAAGGCAAAGTCTATGTATATTTAGGATTTCAACAGGCCACAAATAAAACAAAGACTAACAAAACTTTTAACTTTTTAAATTAAATACTAACAACATAGTTGAATGCAAAACACTTCTAAAACAATCAACCCATATATTGTTCAGTATTGACAATCATTTGAATTTATGCATTAGACATACAGACTAGAGCAGGCATAGCCAACATATGGCTCGTCTAATGAATTTATGCAGCCCACAATTAATCTTTCAACATTAGCTACTGAAGTCCAAATAGCTTGATAAAAAATTCTGATGCCTAAAAAAAGAAAAAAAAGGTCAACAACTCACTGTGCGTTTAGAGTTAACCCTCCATTACAAATCTCTTAAGTACAGTAATACCTCGACTTATGCTACCCCGACTTATGCGAACCTGGAGTTATGTGATTTTCAAATTTCGTCGATTCGTCTTTTGTTTGAGCACCAGACAACTCTCGATTACTCAATCCCTCCACACTATTGTTCGGCTTACATGTTCAGCCGTGTCGCGCGGAATCAACACATAGCCACAATTTATTTTGTGTTATTTATTTCTGTGTTTGTTATATCTACGGAGACTTGAGAGACTTTATGTGGTGATTTCTTCTAACCATGAACAAATCAAAAGACGAGATAAGATTAACGAGAACATTTATTAGCTTACATACATCCGACTTGGATTTTACACAAATTGGGAATTAACCCCGACTTACGCGGTTATCGCTCGGTCCCACCTATCATGTAAGTTCGGGGTATCACTGTACAGCGTAGAACATTGATAAAGCATGATAATATGAAAAATGTATCTGTAATCTCTATGTACATTTTAGTCTCTTCGGGGTGACACCACAATGAGATCTCGCACTACCTCAAAATCTTCCTAGGGCAGCCTCTGGTTTGGCTCGTGAAAAAAGTTTTCTTTCCAATTTGGCCCTGGGGCAAAAACTGTTGGCCACCCCTGGACTAGAGCAACCACCAAAGAAAACATGAATAACATTAACCAAGCACAACAAATTCTAATCATAAGTCATTCTTAAAAAAGCTGATTCTTCCTTTAATGAAGAATAAGGCTGCACAGATAAAGTAAATCTTTACTGCTAACAGATACAGATAATGCAAGAGCTTTTTTTTAAAATAAGAAATAGTCACAATTACTCAAAGCTATAATTCTGCAGACAAAAGCAGTATACCAAATCTAGACAACAATGACATAAATCTAACAATATTCCGGTATTCCCCTACTTATGAACAGTTTAAGTTCCTGAGTTTTTGTCATAAAGTTTGAAAACTAACCTAGAAAGTATTGTACATTTGTACACAGTAACGACTTATTGTTAGTATTTGATCTTTCATTGTACTTAATAGAATACATTATGCTCATTTATCTGCTTGCTATTGCTTAGTAATGGGGTGTTTAAAATGCTGGTTTTGTTTTTTTTTCAAACTAATGCACTTAGTTTATAATTTCCACTTCAGTTTTACAGGTAAAAGAGCAAAACTTCTTGAATTTATTTCTACTGCTAGATTTACAGTTACATTTTGGATGCATTTTCAAAGCACTAATCATAAAAGTTTATTAAAATTGCAAACAATATCAAAAAATGCCATTATTCTAATATTACTGACTTCAATATCACCTCATGAGCAGCAATGGAACCTTCAGATTCATGTGAAAATGAAAAATGATGATACGTGATAGAAATATGCCCACATTGTTTATTCTGACTAAAAACAGACTTCAACATCCTGGATCCAAAAGGAGCACCATGGTAGGCACCCTAATGATCCCAACCAGGATGTTGATTGGAACTGCACCAAACTGCTAGTTGGCTCTGGGATTCCTCTTTAGAGAGATGGAAGCATTTATGATTGCCAAAAAAGACCAATAAATACAAGAAACCACAGGAAACACATTTTAAAAGATGCAACACTCACAGATGACACTTGTAGGAAATGCCACAAAACTATACATTACATCAGGTTGTAAGTTTTTAACACAAAGTGACTAATTAAGTCTTTCTTGTATCTATCATCTCCATTATTTCTTTAAAATACTGATTACTTACATTGATATAACCAAATAGCAAATGTAATCAGAAGATTATGCACAAACATAACCTACTACATATTCAAGAATCATACTACAAATATGCACAGACAATCATTGGAAAAAATACACAAAATATACTATGGCTGAGTTATAATCATAGACAAAACAATCCATCACAATAGATTGGATATCATATTCATTGACAAACAAAAAAATCATACATCATTGACATAGCTGTACCAAACACCCATAGCAATCAAAATAAAATTAAGTAAGAACTCAGTCACAAAATAAAGCATCTGTGGAGACTGGATGAATTACTGTACTT